GGCGGCCCGGAAGCGCCCGCCAGGTAGACCTGGGCGAGGCCGCACTTCGAGCGAGTCGGCTCCGGGGTGGGGCTCGCCCGAGACCCAGAGCCGAATTTCCTGGGTTCCGCGGCTGGGGGACTTGAATATTCCTGGCGGGGTGGGGGATGGGCTGGCTTTCTGTGTCTGGGTGGAGGGGGGCTGGAAGCCCAGGTAGGGATGAGGATGGGGAAGACGGTGGGCCGCGCGTCTCGCTCGCTCCCGCGGGGGCTGGAACTGAAGGGTCCTGGTCTGGGTGTGTAGACGGGGACCCCGCTCTGCGGGGCGGGTGAGCCAGAGCATAACAGCCGGCGGTGGCCCGGCTCGCCTGGGTGTGGCTCGCCCCTCCCCCACCTGCCGCAGCTGTCGGGTCCCCGTAGATTAAGTGAGCACCCGCGGTGGCCGGTGGCGGACGGACGCCGGTGGGAGAGTGGGGTGTGTCCGCGGCCGGCCCGTCTGGTTCCGCTTCTGCGGGCGGTGCTGGCGTCGGTGCCCTCGGCGCGGGCGGCTCCCCCTCCCCGGCTCGGGCGGGGGCGCGCGGCTCCTCCCTCCGGCCCCGGTGGGGGAATTAACACTCGGCAGTAGGTTGGGCTCCTTGACACAGATCCGCCATGACAAAGAGGGAGACTCGGGGACCGAGCGGAGGCACCAGCTTGGGCGGAGCCAAGGAGGGGGGTTGCGGATGGCGCGGACGGAAGGGTTTGCACTTTAAAGTCGCAGTCGGCCCGTTTTCGATTCACCCACCTCGACGTCTTAGGCCGGTTAAGGGTTAAATGGGTGCGGCCAGTCCTTGGAGCGCTGGTTATTCTGAGAAACCTAATCCATTTCGCGCTTGTACCGGAGGGGTTGGGGAGAGAAACCTTTGTACTGGTCTTAGATAATTTTCATTAGAAGCAGCGTTAGTCCGAGAGCATTTCTGAGTTCCTAGGAGAGAAATTAGTAATTTCAAGAAGAGGGGGGTGGGGAGGCTATGCGATCACAAATTTTAGTTTTCGCATCGAAACAGTCTAGTTCCCATTCAAGCTCGCTAATTGCTTGTTCAAACATAGAGGACCTGTGCCGATTTGGTTTTTTGAAAAAAAAAACTATTGTGGGATTTCCCTGGGAAGGTAAAGAAAGGGAGTCATTTCCCGTAGTGAATGATAGTGACTCTTCTGTTCATCATAAATCCTGTACCCTGTGGGACCACTGTATGGGTTAGTATCTTTCTGTGCTGCTTTAGGACCTTTCAAAAGGATATCTTAAGGAATAGTAAAACGGGGGAAATTGAAAAGTCGAAGGAGCTTTAAAATGAGAAAGAATTAGGAAGTTACGATATAAGGGCAGCTCGGGTGATAATGTATTCAGTTACATTTTGACTACTAGGAACAATGCAGTAATTCTGCATTTAAACTGAACAGTGACATCAGAAACACTGGTGACACCGGGAAGCACTTAATAGATACATTTTAGTGCTCGCAGATAGTAAGAATCGAAGTTCCAGGATTCATGGGTGTTATTTTTTAAGCCTGTGTGCATATAACAAGGTACAGATAAATGAAGCCTTAGGGTCAGTTATGTATTGATCCTTGGTGGTGGTTTTACATTCACAATATATTAAAACAAGCAGTTTGGTAATTTCTCCCAGAAAATTGGCATGCTACGATCAGCTGTTGCAAAGATCAGTGGACTTGGGGTGGGGGGGATACCAACTAAAATTTAAACACTCCTGACAAGAGTAGCTATTAACAAAGTAAAAGGACATGAATTACATTCAACTGACAGGTATCGTGATTCTGGGAACGTGATAGTGTAATGTTCTTCATAGGTGGTGTTTTCACTAAAAGCTGCCTAATTTTGGATTACTTAGTGATATTTGAAACTGGAGTTGAGATTTTGACCGAGTAAGATAATGGTTGGTTTTTAAGGCCGCCTCTTGGTGAAATGTGCTTTAACCTTATGTGAAATAAGGGTCCTGAACAAAGATGAGGTAATGCAATTTTAGTTTTGCTAAACCAGTGTTAATGGCTTTAAATGTACGCTCTGCATGCTGAGCATGCCAGTTTTTTTTTTTCCTTAGCATTCTTTTGTGAGGCTGCATTAAATTTCTTGTGTAAAGAATCTTCCATAGGTAATTAGGTTTGAGGTGTTAACATAACTTGTTTACAAAAAGTATAATTTTCAGTCTGTTTTAATGGAAAAAAATATCTAAATGCTACTTTTTTTTCCCCCCCGGCAGAACATACAGTCATGGATAAAAATGAGCTGGTGCAGAAGGCCAAACTGGCCGAGCAGGCTGAGCGGTATGACGACATGGCGGCCTGCATGAAGTCTGTAACTGAGCAAGGAGCTGAATTATCCAATGAGGAGAGGAATCTTCTCTCAGTTGCTTATAAAAATGTTGTAGGAGCCCGTAGGTCATCTTGGAGGGTCGTCTCAAGTATTGAGCAAAAGACGGAAGGTGCTGAGAAAAAACAGCAGATGGCTCGAGAATACAGAGAGAAAATTGAGACCGAGCTAAGAGATATCTGCAATGATGTACTGGTGAGAATCAAACCATTCAGTTTAGCGTCTCTATGATATAGAGTTCCTGTAATGCATATCAGTTAGGTTACTCTCAACTTTTTCTTTCTTTGGTTTTTCTTCTCCTTTTACAAATGGGGTGTTCTAGATTTCCAAGTCTTTCAGGGTGTCATTACTAAAAGATGTTAAAACAGTTGTATAAGGTAAATGCAAAGACGATTATCAATCAGTTCAAATAGATTAGTAATGTTTTTTGTTCTAATAGAAAAGGTAAAGTAATAGTATATCGTTTCAGTTATGGTTAGAATATTCGTAGTAGTTCTAGAGCTGATTTTCTTTAAAGTACGTATATGGATGCAGGAATTTTACATACCCTGTTTTAGGTACGATGTAATAGGAGACGCACTGTAGACTTAGTAGCCTTCCCTGGATTGGCCACTATAATGTTAATGTAATGAGTCAGCCATGCGGAAAACTGGCTTCACAGTTGCTTTTGCCTCTTCCTGCATTTAAGCGTTGGAGGTCTCAACTTGAACACTGACAACCACAATAAAAGATTATGAAAAACTCAAGCTTGATTTTTCCAGGTTCATTCAAGAAGTATTTTAAGTATTCAGTATCTACTTGTTGAAGCACTGCTTCTCTAAATAGCTTAAAAGAATTGAACATTACATTTTGGTTAATTTTAAAATTTTCTTACAAATGATGTTTTTCTGTGGCAGAAAAGTTTAAATCTGAGGATAAATTGGTAGAAGATCCAACCGTTTAGCATATAACAACCTATATACACTAACCAGGAGTTTTTGGAATAATATTTGAAGTGGGTTTTACTAAATGATTTCTCTTGTATTTCAGGACTTCAGGTTACACATTGGGTCTCAGTATGGCAGGGCTCTGGTATATAGAGAGATGCAGTATCCCAGTTCCTCTGAAAATCCAGCTGCACTACTTAATAATTTGAACCTTGTTTACGGAAGAGCTACTATAACGAGAGATATAGGATTATTTCTCATGTTGTGGGGTTTGGAGTTTTTGTTAAAGTTATAATGGTATTATGATTCCTTTATACTAGTCTGAGACTAATGGAATATCTTCAGTTCCTAAATTATGAGTATTTTTCTTAAATGATGATTTTCTTTAGGCTGTCTTTTTAAAGAACAATAATATTTTTTATCTTAACGTGGGCGCCAGTCTTCTTATGTGGTATCTGTCTTGTGTGTGGTTTGTTTTTGATTGCTTACTTGAAATCTCTACATTGATAGCTATCATTCATTTCTAAGATGAGAAGGGAGTTCTGGCTTTTATTGATACTAAGTGACAAATGCTCATCTTGTGGTTTGCTAAGGTAATAAGAATATTTGAAATTTGAAAATATGATGTTTTCCTATAATAAAAAACATGTGGGGCTTTTCCCACCTTGCTCTGTTTACTGATTAGTACCTGTGTACGTTACTGAGTTTTGTTCGCTCTGATGTTTTCCCTCCAATTATTAGACCTAAAAGATCAAATAATTTTTATTTTGGTTTCAAAGAGTTTGCTACAAGTTATAATTTCCCTTAAAACAAAAGTCAATTTTAGGAATAAATGGGGGACGCAGTAACATTTACCCTCTACTTACAGCTTATTTGAGATTCCAGGTAGGTATTTGCATGTTTTCCACACAGGAAGTATAAAAGGTCCTGTCATTGTGAGGATTTTCCTAGGAAAAGACTATAGCAGTTTTAACTTTACTTCCCTTTGGTGTCCTTATCAAGGAAAAAAAATAGGATCCGTGGGAGAGAATAACTGGATTAATCTCTAAATAGCTTCTCCTTGTTATGATTATTAAGGGGGTTTCATACTGGTCACTACCCATGTTCTCCTTCAGAATAGCACTGGCTTCTTACCGAGTCTAAACGAAATTTCCACTTCGAAAGTATAGATAAATGAAAGTTTAATTCCTTTATTATATAGAAGACTCAGAATCCTAAACAAGCTTTTGCTTCTAGCCTTAGTCTTCTCTAAAGTAAAGCTCCATTAGTGATCTTTGCATGGCTCATGCCTCGTAACATATAGTAGATACTCAAGTATTTGTTAAGTAAATGAGCAAAAAGGCTTCTTTTGGAAAAGAGGATAATAGAACTAGGTCAGCAGCACTGCTAATTTTCCAAGGCCTTTTCTGTTTCAACTTGGGAAAATTCGATATTTACAGATACTGTGATTCGTTACAGGCAGGCTTCTTTCTTTCCCTGTCATCTTTTTTTCAGGCAGGTCATGTTGACTCTGGAAACATCTTGCATAAAATCCCTTTTCCCCTTTTTAGTAAAATGGAAGAGTAAAATATAGCAGAACTGTTATTTCTCCTAGAGAAAAAAATTGTTTGAACTGATTTACTTGATGATTAATGAAAGTGTGCTTAATTATATCTCAATATCTTATAAAAATATAACCAGTTATAATCTTTATTACTCTGGTTTTTTTCTGAACTTTGACTTTTAATTTGAGGAAAACAAGCAGGTAATTCCTTTTCAGAATTAACATTATTGGCTGGTGACATCAGTGATGAACCAGACTTCATTGTTCTATTGAGTACCTGTATCATACTGGCTAAGAAAATATTCTCTTTCTTCCTACTAGTGGGAACTAACCTCCATGGTTCAGAGTTCTTCTGAAGAGCTCTTTAGTCTATTATTAGGTTACCGCCATTCTGGTTATGGGCACTTTATCAAGTGTTTGCTTAATTTATACCATTTACTTAAGCAGAGAAAGAGCAGGGAACATGTTACTTTGGACAAAAGTTTTAGAGCATTACTGTGGAAAATGGTCACTGGCTTTATTCTTCACAACATGGACTTCTCTTTATGCCAAACAATTTGCAGTTTTCTTCCTTGTGTCGTTAAATTGTGAACTAATGTAGTCTGCCTTTTCTGCCAGATCTTAGACCAAAAGCTCTTGTGTTCGTGGGCGAGGGGATCAACACCTCTTCTGTCTAAACTCACAAGAAGCCAAAAAATTGGGTAGTTTATCTTGAACATGATGAAATGGAAAATGAAATGAGGATATGCATACTAGATTGAACCTAATTCAAACTCAAAGAAGAATGTAGTGTCGTAAAAAGAGCTCCAGGTTTTGAGTCAAACCAACTTTTTACCATTGAATAGCCGAGTGGCCTAAAGAAATCTTCCATCCCTCAGAGAAAACTGAGCTCAATTAAATGGGAATAATTCTGCCCCATAGGATTGTTGTGGAGAAAGAAAATCAGGTACTCTTAGTGCCCCAATTTATCTCAGTTTTGGGCTTCTGTTTAAAGCAGTGACAATAGTACAAACCTGCCTCTAATAATATAGAGGTCTCTTAACTCAGGAGTCCAAGAATGGGAATTAAAAGATCCAAGAAGCCTTAAAAATTGTGTATTTTTCTAGGGCAGAGGGCCCGTACTGTCCAGCAAATTTTCAAAGGTTTCATTTAAAAATTGAAAGCCACTGGTATAAGGTAAAGAATGGCTTCCTTTCACAAATCAGTAAAATCATGAGTCTTCCATTTGTAACAGTTGGCAACAGTAGTTGTGTGATTCAGTTAACTTGACTGCGTTCCATTTTATTATGCTTCTCTACATTTTTAAGGTGTGGTTTTCAAGGTGTGGTTGCTGAGCACTGGGTTTTATCTCTAGCTCATAGAACTGCCATTAAGCAGGAGCAAGCTAGGAAACCAGGCAGCTTTGAGGTCCTTCCTAGTCTGAATACGTTAACACATTTTTGACCAGAGACGGATTTTGGCTCCAGGCGTTAGTTTCTGCAGAAATCCCCCGGTCAGTAATGTGTTAATATGTCTTAGGCTTTAAAAACTGCTATATAGAGTTTTAAGTTGAAAATTACTAGGCAGTTCACTTGTTGGAGTAAGGGCTTCTCAGAAGAATTCTGCAGTGTTATATTCATTTTCACTACTGTATATATTTACATGTTTTTGTCAATAACTGCTTTTGGTATGTTTCAGAGTACAAAGACCTTATGTGACATAGCAGATAGCAACAGTCCCTTCCAGGAAGGAGTACACTTGATAGTCTTTTTGGGAATAAAATTCAGTAGCCTTTTTAAAAGAGTTTTCATGATAACCATTAAACATTGACCCTGGTGAGGTATTTTGTATATTTGGGAAGTCTGAGGTGTGTGAAGTGTAAATGAAAGAAAATAAAGGAACAAAGAAAGGCGAGGTAGATGTTTGCCATTTGGTGGGAAGGGGAAGAATAACAACTTGATCAAGAGCAACAGGTTACCTGTCCTTTTTTGGCATAGCAATACTTAGATAAGAATGAAGTCTTTCCTGCCTGGTCTAAGAGGAGATATAGATGACCTGGAGATGTTTAGTGATTAGATGAGCTGTGAAGATAGTTAAAAGTGAACTAAGAGGAAAAGGTGAAAGGATTCAAAATTGGACTTAAAGCAAAAACCTGAGTAATGGGCTTCCCTGGTGGCTCAGTGGTTGGGAGTCCGCCTGCCGATGCAGGGGACGCGGGTTCGTGCCCCGGTCTGGGGGGGATCCCGCGTGCCGCCGGGCGGCTGGGCCCGTGGGCCGTGGCCGCTGGGCCTGCGCGTCCGGAGCCTGTGCTCCGCGGCAGGAGAGGCCACAGCAGTGAGAGGTCTGTGTACCGGGAAAAAAAAACCAAAAAAGAAAAAAGAAAAAAAAAAAAAGATACCCACTTCCAGTTATAATATCAATAAGTACTAGGGATGTAATATACAAAATGATGACTATAGCTAACAGTTGTATGATATATAAGAAAGAAAATCCCCCATTTGCGGAGCACAGGCTCCGGACGCGCAGGCTCAGCGGCCACGGCCCACGGGCCCAGCCGCTCCGCGGCACGTGGGATCCTCCCGAAACGGGGCACGAACCCGCGCCCTCCGCATCGGCAGGCGGACTCTCAAGCACTGCGCCACCAGGGAAGCCCCTGAGTAAAATCTTAAAGTAGAGGAGGAACATGCACACTTATGCATCTGCCCAAGAAAGAGGAAGCAATTGTATTCAGCCCTAGCAGAGGCTTT